TATATATATATATATATATATATATATATATATATATGTATAGATGATTTGTATCTATATAGATCTATTTTAAAAGCCATGTCTCACATATATTTCTGATGTCACTTTCGGCAAACTGTTACATTTATACGACCGAGTAATTCTCTTTCGATCAATCTCAAATAAAAAAAAAAAGTTGCACATTAATTTATGGAAATTTCACTTCTGCTTTTATTTAAAATCACATTTACCATATGTGAAATATGATGTAAATAATTGGGGACAAAAGCATTGAAAGTTTTTCATCCTCAAAAAAAAAAATGTGACAAAAGATATAAGCAATAGAAGAAGCGGTAATTTCTCTATTAGAATGTTAAAAATGATTAATAATGTACGGTCAATTTTCCGTAACAAATTGTTTTGTGGTAAAAAAAAAAAAAAGTGACACTTCTGATGTTGACATTAATAGTATTTGTAGTATTTAAAATGTTAGTACAAATAATTTACTGATAAAAATTTTCAATGATAATAGCAATTCTAAACATTTATCAAGAACAGAGAAAATTTTTGACAAAAAAAAAAAGGTTTTAAAGGCAAACCTTGCTGAAACCATGCAGTACTGGTCGGATTTGAAAAATGGAAGTAGTTATTTAACACCTGATTGAACTGTTCCTCCGGTTGTTCTAGGTCATCAACACCAATTCGATTTGTCGTTTCACGTTTTCTCTTATTTCGAGTCCCATTTTGGGTTAAATCGATTGATGCTGGGATTGTAACCAGGTTTGAATCAAACCAATCCGATGGGCATAAGTCCATTTGCTTGACAAATAGACAAATTTACCACCAATAAACCTGGTATTACCCTGGAAAAAAAAAAGATGCAAAAAGATCAAAGAATACTTCGGTAAAATTTTTTATTCAAATATTTTTACTATTATTATAAAATTAAACATATCAAATATTTTGTTAAAATTACAATTAAAAACAATAAGTGGAAGGAAAAATGCAAAATAACTTTTTAATTAATAAACATTTTACATATTTATGGTGAAAAAGATTAAATGAACTTTGTCAAAGAAATGTCAAAAAAAGAATGAATGGAAAAAGTATTTAAAAAAGAAGAAATTGAGGTTAAAGAATTGATAGATAATAAATTAATGCAACGTAAAAGATCACAATCCCTTTGAAATGCAAATCAATTTCAACAACCATTACAATCAGTGCAATTTTTTTTTTTTTTTTGTTTCTTCCACATTAATTTCTAAGTTGGACTAAAAATTACATCGAATTTACAGAACTAATTTAATTATAAATTCAATGATAGATATTGGTATATTGGTTAAATATGTATGGTTGATAATAAAATGATAACCTTATCTTGTATTTATGATAAAATGATAATCTTACATATTTGTTTAGCTTTAGATGATACTTTTTAGATGACAAATATATGTCTAATATTTACTTCTATTACGTAGATATCTGTTCATTTCAGTTTTATATTTGTCTTATTTTAAAGAATTAACACAAATGATAATATCTTTCAGTGATAAGATTAGAATAATTTAACAAAATCATTCAAAAAAAAAAAAAAGTAAAAAGAAAAAGGTAAACAAAATTAGCACAGAATAGGGGACAAGTTTTTTTTTTCCTTTTCTTCTTCAGAATTATTATATTTATCTGGAGAATTAATCAACAATTGTAATGATAAAGTAAGACAGTAAGGCTTGTATTTATTTGTTTATCATAAATTGATTAATTAATCCTTTATCAATTTACTAATTATCTACTGAACTTATGTCATGTTTGTTGTTAAGTAATCAAACAACTTATTTATTTAACATAATAAATTATTGATTATTAATAAATAAATGAAATGTAATAGAAATAAAAAGAATGTGAGACAATCTTATTTCAAGTAAATGTTGTTTAAAGGCAAAGCCGAAAAGATGAAGTGTATTGGAGGAAGTGGGAGGAAAAGAGAGAAATGAAATGCGCTAAGGTCAAGCGGAATGGGGACCTAATAGGTGACAACGACTGGTACGAAACAGCCAAAATGACGGGACAGTCTGCACCAACACTACTTCAAATGAACCACTGGTAATGAATATAAGTGTATATATATATATATATATATATATATATATATATATATA